TAAACTTAGATTTCAACTTAAACTCTGTTTAAACAAAACAAACGCATTGTTAGAATAGAGTTTAAATTTGAATCTAAGTTATTGAAAAACTGGCCCTAAGTGTAAAGAAATATTGCCTGGCGAAATTTGACATGATCATTTGACGTAATCAGGTTGCAGATGTGTATATGCGACGTATCGCGAGTCTTGTATTTTTTTAAGACATTTATAAAATAAAGAGAAACGTAGAAAAAAATACCCGGGAAGACTGATAGCTGAAATTAAATAAAATATACAGTTATTATTTTTTTTATTAAATTTCAATCTTGCTCTAAATTAATTATTTAAAATTGCTCTTTCTCTAAAATTTAATTGTTACAATCAGCTGCGTCGATCTCGTTTAAGGAATTTTGTATTTCGTTTTATACTAAGTGTTCAACATTCGCGGTAGGAAAAGTTCAAGCAAGTAATTAATACTTCCGACATATTGCTAAATGGAATTTATTTACACTTTGAAATTGATATATACTGCACATCAATTTTTTCTATTTATATTTATTTTTAATAAGACGCATACTAAGAATGTGAATTAAATCATATGTTTGAATGCTTGATCGAAATAATTGATATGTCAATTGGTGCTTCCTCTATTGTATGCCACATTGTACTTCGTGAATTAGAAAATGCGATCGTTGTGATCAATATACGCACAAGTTGTAATAATACCAGAGAGTTTGTGTTGTGAGAAAATAATAGATGTTAAAATATGCCGACATCATCGAAAATATCGTCGATTTTTTCTGGAACGCATCGTAATGTGCACAACATTTAAAAAAGTGCGAATTTATTCACAGATATGGAGTAAAGATTCACAGATGGGATAAAGATATGGAGTAGTCACCATGACAAAATGAAATAGATGATTATTATGTAATATTATTATAACATATACTCTATATGCCTCTATTTTTTAATGTGAATACATTTTTAATAAACATCACACAATACGGCGTGTTACAATAATCTTTTTATCTAAAGCTCCGAATATATATAATTCTATACCTTCTTCTTAGTACTAATATAATTAAAAAGAAAAACAGAAAAAATGCCACTATAAACATATATATGATACAGTATAAAACAGAATATATATATAATACAAAACAATTTATAATTGATACTGATATTTATAAATTATTTGCAAATTTTACTGATAACATAGTTAAAAGGATGCTAAAATGAGTGACAAACTCCGATGAAGAAACGCCTCTCCAACTTGATAGAACTAAAAATGCTGACAATGCTATTGTTTAATAACGCTATATAAATAAGCTCGGTGCATTTATGATTGGACATAGTAATTAGTTTCAAAGTTTCCGCTACGCCACTTCCGTCGTCACTTTGATAAATTGGATTTGAAATAGTACGACTAAACAATCGGATCGGGCTTACTTCCGCTTTATCAAGTAGTGCTATTCAACGGCAGGTTTTTTTATTTTGTCATAAAGAAATAAATACATCGCTCTTGAAAGAGTTGGTAAACACAGACGACGTGTATAAAGACATGTATATAAAATTCTATGAAAAATATTTCGACGAATTTATGTTTAAATTCGCACGAAGAATTTCGCAAGCTTACAAATCAGGCAATGCTCCTATTAATTTTCGCAAGAATGTTTACTGCGTAAAGGCAGTATTGCATTCATAATTCTGTACAACCAAGACTTCGTAAACAACAGAAAAATCAATATTTACCAGAAAATTTTTCAAACACTTATCTCAGATAATACAGAATATTCTAAAATTATTTTGGATATATTTTAAATATTTTGAATTTTTCTAGGATATCCTAGATACATTCAGAATAATTCTGAGATGTTTTGTATTCTCTAGGATTTGAACATTGTGCCTCTCTATTATGAATTCATATTCATGAGCTGTTATTCAGGTGTTTGGGTAAATATTTTGTACATGAAATATATGTTACAATTTAACCTAATATGTTATTTGCAAACTTGTTCTTGACTTGATTAATTATTAAATAATGACCAAGCATATATGCGAACTACCTGTGAATCGAGAACACGAGTTTCCCTTCGCGACTATACAACCATTGACTTTCAAAAATGTGTGGATAGCTTGGTGTGGTATCAGTAAATATACTCCAAAATGCGGTCGTTACATGGACAGCACGGCCACGGTGACTGCCGAGAGAAGAAGGCACGCTGCTCTCAAACATTGGTGGATAATACATCCGTTTAGTTACGCCAAGTACCTTTCTACGTTTCCTTTTATATACGATATATCTTTCTTTCTCTTTCTCTCTCTAAGATACAAAATACTTTTATGTATAAGCATTACTTATATTGTTCGGTGAATAGCTCAAAGAAATCGTCATTCTGAACGAGAAAATTCATAGATACCTTTGGGATACATTCATGATGGCGATTTACTCAATCGCCTTCCTGACGATACCTTTCATGATCTGCTTCGTTGTTATGGACTACGAATCGATTCTCCTGGATAAAGTGAATATCCCGATTTATGCGATTTGCTGGTTGGACATATCGCTTAATTGCATTACGGGTTATTACGACAGCAAAGACATGCATATCGAGTTGAAACTTAGTAAAATACTTATGTGAGACTTCACATGTAATACCTCACCCAAGTTTTTGCACAATTAATTTCATTATTTTTATTTAATTTTGTTGCATTCTCAATTTTTTAGTTTAATTTGAGTTTTGTCTTGTTAGATTAATATATCCACATGTGACGCTGAAAAAATAATCTTTATAGGTTCTATCTTAAAGGACTTTTCCTGCCAGATGTGCTATCGTCCTTTCCGTACGATCACATAACGCTGCCATGGCGAAGACTGCCAGGAGATGGCTCGTATCATATCGTTACCTTAATCAATATATTGCCTTTTATGAAGATAACACGCTACTCGACGTTTAGGTCGAACATTTTTTATCTATTTCAGGTGATAAAACTTAAACTTAAATCCTATCAGCTTTTCCATAAAAATACATAATGATGTTATATTATTACATGATAAACGCTTTCTATTTCAGCACTTTGAAATTAAGCATTTTTACTATGAATTATACATTACGCTATTACTGGGAATATACTTAATCTTCTGGTTCTCCTGTCTGTGTTACTTAATACCGATTTTATTAATGATGCACTTCGTCAACATTCCGCCGCGAGTAAGCAAGTCTCCGATATTGAACCGCAGAAATTTATATGCTACGTTAAACACATTAAAAAAAAATTGTAATTTTAATCTTTATTGTCATCACACGTGGAAAGGAATGCGAGAATTGCTGGATGACGGGCTTAGAGGACCGCACTCTCATGTTCAGATTCCAAAATGCCATGCTGATCGTGCTGGAGAATGTTCTAGCAACTGGTTACGGTCTCTTCAAACCTAAAACGGATGGTCACCTCATCTTGAGCAGTTTTATCATGCTTATCGGCAGGATTATTCTGTGTTACTTCTTGAGTAAAGCATCGTATTATTTATTTATTGTTTGTCTCTCTAAAAGCGCTATATATCTTCGGCAGATAAAAGCAGACGCATTGTGTCTCCTTCTAGTTATGTTCCTTCGGGTCACATCTGAGAGAACGGAGTCCGAAACGAAGTTTCAAGAGATCATAAACGAAGTGAAGGCGTACACTAGACAGAAGCAGTTAGTGCCGCACATGAAGAAGCGTCTCTTGGCTTATTACTATTATCGCTTCAAGAACAGTTATTTTCGCGAGAAACAAATTTTGTCCAACTTGTCAGGTTAAAAAAGATGATGAATGTGAAAATCAGAACATGAAATCTTTATTAGGATAATGTATATTAGGATAATGAAACTTTGTTTCTTCAGAAACGTTACGCGAAGAGATCGCGCTCGAGTCTTGCCGGCGATTAATTGAAAACGTAGCGATATTCAAGAGTCTACCCAGGCATATTCTGCAGTCGATAGTGAAAAACTTGAAATTCGAGTTATATCTACCGAACGAGGTGATTATCAAAGCTGGTAGCCACGGTGACTGCATGTTCTTCTTGTCTTCAGGAACCGTAGCGATCCTGACGCCAACTGGGAAAGAAGTAAGTTCTTCCAATTTTTGTATTCGATTTCTAAGACTATGATGAGAAAAAATAAGCAAAATAAGATACATATAATTCTTAAAATGTGTTATTTGAACATTTAGGTATTTCTTAAGAAACTCTTTTGATAATTTGTGCCATTTGCGCGATAGTCAACATTGTATAATAATTAAAATTCGAACTAAACGAAAGTATCGTGATAAAAACAGGAATAACTATCTATTACTTCAAGATATGCCATTTGGATGACGGAGCCTATTTCGGCGAGATCGCTCTCTTAGTGGCGGATGAACGAAGGGTGGCCAGCGTCGTCGCCATCGATGTCTGCGAATTGTACCGAATCGATCGCAAGGATTTTCGTCAATGTATAGCTGTGCACAGCGAATTGTTTGCGGAGATTGAACGTATCGCCATTGAACGAGTGGATAAGATCGTTCGGGCCGAGAAACAGTACAAACATTTCCTGATGCGTCCCCCTAGTCGTGCAAAAACTCTCTTACCGACAAACTCAATATGAAAAAAAAGAAAAATTATATGCGATGTGAGGACATATTAGTAAGTTATATTAGTAAGTTATATATTGTTTGTTGCGCGAATTCACTTGCTTTAAGATTAAAATATTGAAGATACTCAGCCATCAATTCTTTACGACATATTGACAGTTAAAATTAATATTCTAATAAAAAATATACCATTATTAACAACTGATCAAAAGTTAGTTGGAAAAAGTATTGCGTAGCTCCGTTAATTTCTCGCAAAATAACAATCCTGCTGTTCGTGTAATCATATATTTAAGGATCTTATATATTATTATTGTCCACATAAAATAATATCATATAGAGCGTCTCATTCATTTATATCTACGAGGGTGGTCTGAAAAGTTTCCGACCTCAACGTGAAGATAGCAGCACTTGTAAATAAAAGCTAGTGAATTTCG